GTACTGATGAACTTTTATGGTGTCAAAAATCTTTTTTCTGATCAATTAGTGCTGACGAACTGTTTATTTCATAAAAATTAATAAAAAAATTACACTAGATATTTTGTCATCACTAATAATCATTTTTTTCTGAGAATTGTCTTGTATTGGTCGGTAATGATGATTATTTCTAAAGCAAAAAATGAAATCGTAAAAAATAATGAATGTGGGAAATTGAAACTGGTCCAAAATACATTTTACTGACAAAAAAATACAATTATTGACGAAAATTCACCTCTGTCAGTAATAATTAAATTATTACTGACAAAATTTTTGTGTCTTCGGAATTAGGGATCTTGTTCGATGCAATTTCTGAGTCGTTCGTAAGTTTTCGTCACAACTGTCTCCCTTTTTTGTAGTATTAACCCGACACTGGGCGAAACACGGATGGGAACACGACCGTGTTCTGCCCTTGTCCGCCCGTGCTTTGATTAGGTCACAAGCACTTCTTTATCGTCTTTCTGCTCATGTCTCCCTATTTGAGATCATATCATAACATGTGGTCTCTTCCTTGTCCAGCTCAAGCCTCCTAGACATGTAGGCATTTACTTAAGTTTCATCCTCGTATTCAACATCATCTCTCTTTGCAAAATGCAGTTTTCGGTTGGGATAATTGATTCGGGTATAATTGCACATGTCACCCTGTATTCTTGTGGTGTTTGGAGCGTTTACATCGCTTAAGGCTTGATTTTACGCTAGATTGTGCATCTTTCCATCATGTTTTAGGTTCTAACAGGTGAAATTGGCCTTGGAAGCGAAAGCTGAACAAAAAAGGGCAAAAGCGGATCGAAAAAGGAAAAAAGGCGATGATCAAAATTGGAGCAACTTTATCACGGTTAGCCGACCGTGAAGAAGAGGTCTAGGCCGTGAAGAGCATCAACATCCAGAAAGTTTGGTACACCTCGTGGTCCTAAAAGTTATCACGATCACCAGACCGTGATAGTGCCATCTAGTTCGTGAAGGCCTTAAATGAAACAGTGCATTTTGCCCGAGATCACGAGCGAGGCCTCGGTATCACGCCTGTGATAATTGACCGTGATGAGCGTGCGACTAGAGTATAAAAGGAGAAGGGAGCTGAAACTTGAAAGGGGAATCCAAATGAGAGATTGTCTTCTTCTTCTTCAACTTCTGATTTTAGAGAGAGAAACTAACGAACAAGGAGAGAATAAGAGGCCTAGGGTTTGCTCCTAGCAAGAGGATTGAAGATTTTCAATTCCCAAGGGTGATTGCAACCACAAGGAAGGAAGTCAAACACCACACCATAGTTCTTCCTCTCTTCTTTGTTGCAATCCCTAGTTTAGCTATGGTGTAGTTCTGTTTTTCACTTGGGTATTGTGAACCCTAGCCTAGAAATGTGATAGGTTGGATTTGAACTCTATGTGTGTTTTAAGATAATGTTTGAGGTATTTTCATGATTGTGAGTGTTGGGTTCCATATCTCATTTGGGTCAAATTGAACTAGAAGGAGGAAATTTCATCCTTGCCCACTTCTTGGCAAATTGGGTAACCCCTTCTAGGGTAATTAGGGACACACCCCAAGCATCGCTTAAGCGTAACAATTTAATTGTGTTTTATTGCTTTGTCTCCATTTCAAATTAACATATGAGGGATTGGTTAGCAATCCTTAGCCGATTGATTAAGAGAGCTAGGTTTTCTAGTTTAATTGCTTTTTCATAATCAGTTGCCTAAGAGAGTAGGAATCTTCCACTAGTTGCTCCAATCTCGCGGTATAAGAACACACTGTTTCGCACTAGAGTTCCAATTATTGCTACGTGAGGGGAGCAACATTGGGGTGAAGTTTTCTCATATAGAATCCACAACAATTTCATTTCTTGCTTGCTTTAAATTCTAGCTTTTAGTTTTCACTCAAAACCGATAGCTAGATAACGTTTTAAACAGTTGAAGTAGGAGTACATAGACCGACTCAGGTTGAGATTTTAAAACACTTGCACTATACTACACACCTAATAGAGTTTATACTTGGGCTCTAGTCGAGATTTTATTTGTGTAGTTAGGAACGAGTCAACATTTTTGGCGCCATTGCCGGGGAAAGTTTACAATTGATAACACCTAAATTAGCGTTATTTAACCCTCATATTAAGGTGTGTTTGGTGCCAATTCATGTGCATAATTGCTTGAACACCGTTGATTGCATCCATCCTTCGTTCCTATGTGAATTCTATGTGATTTTAGGGTGTATTAGACGATATGTGCGAATTAGGTATAAAACAAGGTCACTAGTGTAGCAAGGGGGCAGGAAGCTAAAGATCGTGGCCTGGAAGCTAAAGATCGCAGCCGGGAACATAGACCGCGAACTAAAGCTGAAGATCGCGGCCCAGAAGCCCCAGATCGCGACTGCGAATTGGAGGGCTCAGGACGCGAACTTCGCGAGGAAGGACTCAGGGAGAAACATAGACTTTTCCCAGTTGTATCAGGGCCACAACATTATTTGACTGCGAGGAAGATCGCGGCCGCGACTCATGGACTGCGACCGCAAAGTCAGCTCGTTTACATTGTACAAATATAAAGATTTAGCCCTAGCTTTCAATAATACTACAAATTATCCAAAATTTTATAAATAGGTCATTCACATCAATGCAATTGTAAAAACAATTTCATACATGGAGTCTACTGTTACCTCAATAATTACTGTGATTACACTAATGTTAATTTCATTGCATCTATATCAATGCAATTTACTTGCAATTATAATTAGCAATCGCATCAAAAATAAAATAATAAAACAAAAATAAATAAATAAATTGAGGAAAAAATAGATCATTGTTTTTCTATTTTCCAACGTGGTTGGCCTAATTAGAACATCCATGGATCGGTGCTTTGACTTGAGCGTAAGCTCTAACGATTAACTTACTAATTCTTCATAAACTTAACATAATTTGATGATGTGGCTGCCATATCACACATAAAATTGTATTTGATTTTTCTAATTTGAAAAATCCCCAGAAAAAGAATTTTTTTATAAAAAAAATATATGGGCACATTATTTGGGGACATGGAAAATACATGACAACCACATCATCAAATTATGTTGAGTCATTAGCGGTTAAATGAATTGGCCTTTTGATAGAAAAATGTGGGTCATGGATTCATTGAATTCTTAGGTTCAGTAGAGAGTTATATTTTTTTGGTGCTTTTGTATAATGGATTTTAACTTGAAAAAAATTAAATCTCTAAAATCTAGATATATCAAATCTCTTCTAATTAGAGAGATTTTACATCTTGATTTTTAAGATTTTTTATTCTATTTGTTCTCTTTATTTTTCATTATTTATCTTACAGAATATCCGAATCAATTTTTAATATTTCTCGAGTCACTCATATTCACTTGGTTGAGGGTAAACATGTAATTTGATAAAAAATATTAGAATTTTTATTTTTCATGAAATATTAACAATCATAGTTACCAAGCCAACAAACATTTTAAAATCTTTTTTCAACTATCCGTAGAGTTAAAATCTTTATATTATTTAGAAATCTTGCTTGATGGATTGAAAATGAGGGTTTTGAGTTTTTAAAACCTTTGGATTTATGATGGATTTGGAATAGTACATTATTTGATATTTGATTTCTTATCATGGATTTAAGATGAATTTGTCTCACATTTTTCCCCTTCAATTGTCAAATCCCAAATAAAATGTGGGATTTGCAAATTCGTGGGGAATCAATTCGACGCCAACGTGGTTTCGCCCCCAACAGTCTTATACCTCTGGGAACATCAACGAGTCTCGTTTAGATTTGAACCTGAGATCTACAACTCCCAAATATTTATTGTCGCGACAGTTTTATCGTTAGACTATTTTACCTAATTTTTTTTTATCAAACTATCTTTACCTAAGTTAGTAGGCCTGTTAGCGGTGCGGTTTCGGTTTCAACCGAACCGCAAAGGCGGTTAGCCGACACCGAGAAAGAGGTAAAATCGGCAACCGCAACCGCGACCGACGGCACCATCGGTTAGCCGAAAACCGCAACCGTCGGTTTCGGTTTCAACGACGGTTATTCAGAGACCGACGCACACCACCTCCGACCACCACCATCGCTATGCATGTCACCGAAAAATCCCAATTTTGAACCATCGGCAGAGGAAGAAGAGAGACCCGTCGGAGGTAGAGCGTCGAGAGGAGGATTTGGATCTAAATCCGTCGCTGAAGGCAGAGGAGGAGCGATGACGAGCATACATGGTCGGAGTTCTTGATCGGCGGGAGAGGCAGAGGCGTGGATTTGAATCCGTTGCCGCTCGAAACATGCAAGGCGGAGGTGGAGCAACGGCCATCGCCGCTTCGAAATCGACCTCTGGATTGGGAGGCGGAGTGAGCGAGGCGACGAGTTAGAGGATTGGGCGACGAGTTAGAGGATTGGATCTGGAGGATACAGGGAAAGGAAGAGAGGGGGAGAGACGGAGAGCGGCTAGGGGAGAGGATATGGGTTAGCGATGGAGGAGGGAGAAGAAGGCAACGAAGAAGAAGGGAGAGACCTGCAAGAGGAGAGGGAAAATCATGTTTAGGAGAGGGAAAATCGTGTTGAGGAAGAGGAAGAGAGTGGGGGACTGGGGGTTGCAGGGGGAGATTAGGGGTGAGAAGTCGGTTTTCGGTTGAACCGAGTTTAGCTCGGTTTTTCACTCGCGGTTTGCGGTTAGCATTATAACCCAAATTCGCCAACCGACGCCGACACCGTCAGGCTATTTTCGGTTTTCAGTTCGGTTTATAACCGTTCGGTTCGGGACGGTTTTCGGTTGAACCGAGAAACCGCCAACCGATTATCACCCCTATAAGTTAGTGTCGACTATCAACTCAAAAACTAGAAAAAAGTTGTCTATTATCGGAAAAGTTGGGAACAAGGTTGTTTATTAATTATTATACTGTAAAAAAGGTTGTTTATTATACTGTAAAACAAAGTTGTTTATTTGAATATTTAGTATTTACCCTTAAAATAATTACCGTTTCTGTTCGATCTCTCTCTCTCTCTCTCTGTCTAGCCTCAGCTCCTGTTTTTTTAGGTGTGGTCGCCATTTTAGAATCAGAACGATTTCTCTCTCATCAAACAAACGCCGAAACGCTCCGATCCGCCGACCCGTTCCTCTTCTGCCGACTTGATCGCATCCGTCCGTCCATCGGATTGTGATGGGCTGCTAGAGGAGCCGTATCCAGCACCGCCGGGCAGCGAGATTGAAATCTAAGAACTAGGGTTTCGGAGATTCTAATTCTTCCTATTGATTTTCCCCCTCAATTGACTGGGATTCGGCTATAGAAGCCCTCCCCCATGAGCCTTAATCGCTCTACCAAGGATATGTCCGCCCGTCTACCGCCGCCAGATCAGAATTCCCTCCAATCTGCTCAGTCCAGTAATTCTGCCCAAAGGTAAGATTGATTACCCTGACCCATGCCTATGCTTGAAGCATTTTTCTTTCTTGAATGTGAAGGGTTTCCGCTGGTTATTGCGCCGCTTGTTTGTCGTTTGAATTCTGGTCAACTGCTTAATGGCCTTTAATTGGTAAATGTAGATAGTCTTGTTTAGTTCTTTCAATTTTGTTGCTCTGGGTGGGGGGCAGCAGTCAAATCTCTGACTGTAAATTGGTTCGCTACCTCTATTGGGGACGCAATTCTGATTTAATTATGGTTTTGGGTTTCCCCAGTCTTATTGGAAACTGATTTGATATAGACTACAACTCTTTGTTTCGATTATGTTAATTGTTTGGTTTCTTCCTCTTCTTGATTTCAGTAGTAGAAAAAACGCTCTTCGGCTGTTAGTGCAGAGGGAGATATGCCCCAGAGGGAAGCATGTTCCCAAGAAGGGATGGGGAGAGGCTTCTCATGTGAATGTCAATTCACCATCTGAGGCTAAAAGTGAACCAGCAAGAGATCCCAAACGAGGTCTTATTTCATGGTATGGAAATACTTTGGATTAAGTTATCATGTTGCATCGTATTCTTGTTTTGGTTCATTCGATCATATATGTATTTGTTCCCACTTTAGGGTTGAGGCAGAATCACTTCGACATCTATCGGCCAAATATTGTCCCCTGATGCCACCTCCAAGGTCTACCATTGCCGCTGCATTTAGTCCGGATGGGAAAACACTTGCTTCCACGCAGTAAGTTTTACTGCACGTTGTTGTCTTTTAGTTGTGAATCAATCTCTTATTTCACTTTGAGGTCTGTTTTTTGTACTCAGCGGTGACCACACTGTCAAGATTATTGATTGCCAAACTGGGAAGTGCTTGAAGGTATTGAGTGGTCATCGGAGAACTCCTTGGGTGGTGAGTTGGAATTAGGATGTTATCCATTTCCATCTATGTGCAGTAAATGGCTCACTCATTTATACACTTTTGGATATGTGCATTCAAATCTGATTGTTTCTTATAAGCTGCTCCTGTTTTTGTGGGGCCAAGGAGTATTTTCAACTAGTTGTTTGGCAGAGAATTAGTTTCAATGTATATATGTTGCTGTTTTATCCTTTTCTATGCTTTTATGTGCACTGCTTCCTGTTTACTGCTATTATTGCTTTAGCTGCCAGAAATCTTTTTAGGTACTGGTTGAAAGTCTCAGGTTTGTGATTATTACCTGATCTTTCTACTGAGAGAGGGAAGTTTGGTGATCTGATTTTTCACTTTTCAGAAACGGTTGAAATTTTGATCTTATTGGTTACTATAGAATCCATGCAACATTCTATGGAATTAAACCCTGTTCGGCCGTATTAAACTACTTTACTTGTTATCTTTGTAATCGGTCACCCCCCCCCCCCCGGCCCCCGGAAGTTTGTGACGTGGTATATTTATTTGCATTGTGTGCACTGTTCATATATAGGATGTTGTTTATTCGAGCTCCCGAGAAATCAATGAGTGTTTGTTTATCATTCAACTGGTCTACTTGATGTGTAACTTGTACAAGCACTGTTATGAAACGATTGCTTGGCTTTACAGTTGCTAGGTAGTACAAGTTGGTCTTTGTTGTAGTTGTGACTGCAATAATGGAATGTCTTTATCTCTTAGTGGTAGTTATTCTATTTTCTTGTGGTTCCTATCATTCAGAATGTTTTGTGTGTAGTTGTTCTTTTTCAAACCATTTGTGTCATATACCTCATGACAAGGCTGTGTGGCTTGCTATGGTTCTTTGGATGAAATCATGTGTTAGGGTTCCTGGGATTAAGATATTTTAGTTTCTTGTGGTTGCTATCATTCAGAATATTCAGTGCTGAGCAGTCCTTTTCCAAACCATTTGTTTCTTAATCTCATTGAAAGGCCGCCTATGGTTCTTTGGATGAAGTTATGTGATGTTCAGTGTTTCATCACTTGGAACTGTTGCATTGCGCCCATCTGTTTTTCCAATTGCTGGACTAGCTGTTTTATTTATTTATTGAAGTTAACCTTTTCAGGTTAGGTTTCATCCCCTCCACCCGGAGATTCTTGCCAGTGGTAGCTTGGATTATGAAGTACGTTTGTGGGATGCTAATACTGCAGAATGTGTTGGATCTCGTGATTTTAGTAAGTTGACTGTGCGCACCTTTTAGTTATTGTTAGAAATTTCATTCTTTCTGCACATGGTTGTATGCAAGGTTGGTGGGATTGTTGCTCAGTTTATCCTTGTGCCTTTTCCAACTTGTGCAGATCGCCCTATTGCTTCCATTGCTTTCCATGCTGAGGGTCAATTGCTGGCTGTTGCATCAGGGCACAAGGTGTAGAATCCTTTACTTTATATGTGGTGTAGCGTTGCTTAAATTTTCAGTTTTCTCTGCTTTCAAGTAGTATGGGGGCACTAATAACATATCTGAACAGTATTGACATTTGGTTTCATGACGCAGTTGTACATATGGCATTACAATAAGAGAGGGGAGGCGTCTTCACCTACCGTTGTTTTGAGGACAAAACGTTCTCTTCGTGCAGTGCATTTTCACCCTCACGCTGCCCCGTTTCTCTTGACGGCAGAGGTTAGTACTTCTAAGAATGTTCAATTGGTTATTATCTCAATGCTACTGTATGGATTACATTGTTGGACTGATATGCAGGTCAATGATCTCGACTCCTCAGATTCTACAATGTCACGGGCAACATCTCCAGGCTATCTGAGATATCCACCTCCTGCTGTTTTTGTGGCAAATGTTCAGTCCAGTGAGCGTGTAAATGTTGCTGCTGAACTACCTTTGATGTCCCTACCTTTACTAGTCATGCCTTCAATCCCTGTAGATGATACTAGAGTAAATGATAATAGAGATGTTAGTTCAAGTTCAAGCTCAATGCAAGTGGAGTCTTCTATGCGTATGCAGATACAAACGGAAACAACTGCACCTATGGAGACACATTCGGACATTGTTGCAGGCTCATGCCCAGCCATAAGCAGTGCAGCCAGTAACTATTTTCATACTGGAGCTCGTACTCCTGGCATAGCTGAAGATGCCATGGACACAGATGAACCACCACATATGAGGCCAAACCATCAAGAAATAAATGCTTTCAGTGAAGGTAATAGTACAGCTGATGGAGGCCCTAGGCATGGCTCAATTCGGCAGCAGTCGACAGAGTTTGGCCAAGTTCACCAGCTTTTGCCACCACGAGATCCGGTTTGGTGGGAGGTACCCTTTTTGCAAGGATGGTTAATGGGTCAAAGCCAAGCTGGTCTTCCTTCGATACTTCCGCTAAATGGTGTTGCCAGTGAACACAATGTTCAGCTTTCAGGTCTTCCCTCTGTGGCACCTCATTTCTCTAGTTCCAGTGCGGAGGCTGCGGTAGCATCTTTGGCACTGTCTGGTAGTTCCTTTTTATCTGGGGGTTCTGGGAGATCTGGTCTGCGGTATCACATTTCACGCTCTCGCTTCTTAGAACCCGAATCTGGTGAAGTTGTGGGTCTTCTCAATACGCAAAATGATATTGATGCTCAGCCACTTATAAACAGAATTCAGTCTGAACTGGCAACAACAGCTGCAGCTGCTGCAGAACTACCTTGTACAGTGAGGCTGAGAGTGTGGTCACATGATATACAAAATCCATGTTCACAATTAAATGCTGAAACATGCCGCTTAACCATACCACATGCTGTTCTTTGTAGGTATGCAGTTTGTGATTTCTGAGACTATTTGTTGTCTTAAACCTTGGTGCTGAAATTGTATATGTCTAGCATACAGGTCATTTAAGGTCTTGTTGCATCACTGTGAGCTTTTCTTCTGCAGTGAAATGGGTGCGCACTTTTCGCCTTGTGGAAGATATTTAGCTGCCTGTGTTGCATGCACCCTTCCACAAATGGAAGCTGATCCTGGATTACAAGCATTAGTGCATCATGATGCTGGGGTTGCAACGTCTCCTACTAGACACCCAATCTCTGCACATCAAGTTATGTATGAGCTTCGTATATATTCCTTGGAGGAAGCAACGTAAGTTCTCTTTGTTTATGCATTACTTTCATTTGCTTCTAGTCTGGTAATATATTGTGATCCATCAAGGGCCTTTGTGTGTGCAGCTTTGGCTCAGTGCTTGTTTCCCGTGCAATTAGAGCTGCACACTGTTTGACTTCTATACAGGTTGGCAGCTTTTCCTTACTAGTATTTAATCTTCCTTGGGATATAGTGGGTGTTGTGTTGTTCCCGCATTATACCAAATGTGATAAGATAAGGGGGATGAACAAGCTGTCATGGACCAACTGATAATTTCTGTGTCCTCCATGGTGATGTGCCGTTTTTCTACTGTTATGTTGCTTTAATAATGATGGATTCACATTTGATGATTGGAGGTTAAATGATGCTAATTGAATGCATTCCAGGTGTTCTATTCTAGGTTTTCTTGTAGCTTGTTACCTGTAGAGAACTGTTGCCTTTTGACTACTTTGAATATCACGACTGTCATTTCCATAGCACACAGGCCGACCTATAATTGTGTGAAAGTTTTATGTTAGTCTACATTTTTTGGGGTGGGGGGGGGGGGGGGGGGGGATTCTGAATTATGTTGGGGGTGAAAATGATGATTGATTTTCCAAGAATATTAGTATCTGTTAATTTCTCCTCGAACTTGTGTAAATCCGTAGCCCAAATTCATGTTCTCGCTGTTTTTGATTTAGTTCATATTGGGAGTGAGGGTAATTGATTCTCCAAAAATACGAGTCTGTTAATTTATCCTCGTATGTGTTTAAAATAGGTCAGATACATGTTCTCGCTTGTTTTGATTTAGTTAAGGTTGATGGCTGTAGTTCGTTTGGCTGTTCTTTCATGTTTATCTGGATTTCAATTATGCTGCTATATGCAGTTCTCTCCGACGTCTGAGCACATATTACTGGCTTATGGGCGACGTCATGGGTCTCTTCTTAAGAGCGTTGTTATTGACGGGGAGACAACATCACTCATTTACACGGTTTTAGAGGTGAATTTTCTAGTTTGCCTACTGTTGTATTTTGGATTCCATGTTGTACTACTGTGTTAATTAGGATACAGGATTTTTTCCTCTGAAATTTTAGGAAGATAGTCCTCATTTTGATCGACATATTGAAGTCCAAGAATACTTATGTTTGGTGCCTCATATTCCACGAGAAAATTCGTTTCTCACTAAGGGGAAATCTGCACAATTTAATAAATGGTGGCAGCATTTTGTTGATTATCTTAAATGGAACTTGCCGGAGCACTTCCTAGTGCATCTGCTGTTTCTAATTAACTAGAAAATTACTACAATGATATGATAATTTTGCCATATAGGTCTACCGAGTTTCAGATATGGAACTTGTCAGAGTACTTCCTAGTGCAGAGGACGAGGTTAATGTTGCTTGCTTTCATCCATTTGCCGGGGGAGGTCTAGTCTATGGAACCAAGGTGTGTGCATGTCTTAGACAAATCACTTGCTTTTGGTCCATGATTTTTCTTTTTCATATGTAAGGGGGCTCTGTCTTCTGAACTAATAACTGATTTCTGTAAAATGTAGGAGGGACGACTTAGGGTCTTGCAGTATGACAGTGCTCATGGGTCAAATTGCTCGACACTGAACTATGTCGCTGAGAACTTGGCTGAGGTAGACTAATGCAAAGGTTATCCGTTTCTACTTGTATTTGGTTTCCTTGATAGAACTGGTTCTTCCATTTATATACCACTGCCAGATTCCCGTTCCATAGTTTTTGCATCCCCTCGTTTACAAATGATTAAACAATGAGGTGGGAACAATACAACATCTGAAAAATGTTTGTGCCAATGATCTATCTTCATTCCTTTTATTCTAAACTCATTTGGACTGAACTTCTTACTTTGTCACTCTTACGTTCCATAAAAGAACAAATGGGTGAATGAGTTGCCTTTTTATGTATGGTGTTTTAGTTTGTAAAAACTAGTCGGGTTGTTATGTTAGGGCGCTTAGATGTCGGATTACTCTGTAATGTTCATCTGTTTGTTCATTCTGACATTTGTAACTCTGAAATGGTTTAAACTTTTAAGTTCCACATCCTTTTTATCAGATGATACACATTCAAGTCTTTCAGTATCACTGTTGCGAAGAACCATTAATTCCTGTCTCTACGTTTATTTGTTGTTTCTCTGCGCTTGTTGGTTGAAGGTTGGGACGTATGCTCTAGAAGGTTAGGAATCCACCCATGACCTGCGTAGTAACTGTGTGATCAGTGCAGTGCAAGTCTCTCTGGATGGTATAATGTCGAAACCTCTACTTTAAACGCATGCTTTTGGCGACTGCACACCGTTCAAATTAGAATACCTTGTGTCTTCTGCTTCTCTTTCCCTTGTGCAATCTGCTTTTGTTTTTGGTCAAGTTTATTAAGTGGTTTACTCTGTATGAACGATGGCAGGAATCTTCAATGTGACTAACTGGGTCCTACTTTTAATGGTTGCTGCTGGCGAATACATTCCGTTGTCGAAGGAAGAAAACACTCTGTTGCTGAGAATGGAAACAGTGTTAACCAAGGAAGAATGTATGCGTATGGACAGAGCCCGGAATGTAAAATAGTTTGCACTAACTGTGGTGTAATACCAAGTTCCTACAAGTCCTGTATGTTGCTCCCCTTTTTTTTCTCTCTTTGTTTATAGTTAACCTTCTATCTCCGTTCCTCGTCCTCTGCATCTCCCTTTCTCAGTTTCTGTGTCTTTTTTTTCTTTTGCCCCTACTTGCTTGTGGTATCCTCTGAAGGAATGAAGTTGGCAACCTCCCAATATTTGAAGGAGGAAGATAAGATTTTCAGTGTATTATTCTCAACTAATAAGAGTTTTACTTGGGAAAAGCAAAAAGTTCGTCCCCAACTCAATTTCCACGTTCCCCGTGTCCTTTTGGCTTTGGCTTGTCTGCGTGACTGCGTACCTGGAAGTAAAAGTAATGTTTAGAGAACGAGAGATTTGTATCGAAGGTGTCTTTAGTCAGGCGGCTGTTTGATTGGATATTCTTTATTCAGTCTAACTTGATCTGTACATACGCAGAAAATAGATTTAATTCTTTGCAATAGGTCCAACAACACGAGACTATATTGAATTATTGATCGTTTGGGGCGAGGTATTTCGGTGTAATATAGAGGTTTCCGGAAACTAGATAACAATTAGGGCGGGAACGATTTGGTACCGAAATTGGATCGATCGATAATTTTGTTTTAAACTGAATTAGATTGGATATGATTCAATCTGGTTCTGATCCTTAGATTCATTCTGGTTATAACAGATGAAAAGGCAGGGTGTATCAGAATAGAATGGGATAAGACTAGGCCTGCCAATGCGGTTTTTTCTTTTTCTTTTGGGTGCTATCAAGCTGAAACTGAATGGACCATATCAATTTCGGTTCGGACAAAACTAACAAATAAATTTCGAAATTGAAAAAGTCGAATTGGCCATATAAGTTTCGGATTCCTAAGCTGAAGACTTTTGCAGACTTATCAAGTTGTATTAATCATGTTTGCACCAAAATTCTAAACAAAAAACAACAACTCTCTCACTGTAAGCTACTACTGCTGCTTGAATGCTCTCTAATGTAGTAGCTATGAAGCGAATGGAATAGAACAATATTAGTTCAACTATAACCCTAAATCCACACTTGCCGGCCATCCACGATTATAGAATTCATGTGGAAGTATCTATTTAAGCACACTTTGTTCCGGTTCAATTTATTTTAACATAATCAGTTAAAGGCCTTTTCGATGGGGAAAATATCTAATTCGAGTTTCTGTTTTGAAAGTGGGAACTCTTCTTTTTTTATCCTTCTTTGGTGTAACTGCTTCAGTAGAAAACTTTCACGTCCGACATCTACGAACATCACCGAAAATTGACGATTCCTTTTTCTTATCCCCTTTCTCGGAGACGATGAAAGAGATCTGAAGCTGTCAAAACTCAGGAATAGAACAAGGGGAAAAAGTTGGCAAGATTAAAGCTATAAAAAAAAAGACAAAAGTACGTACACCATTTCAGGTATACATCTTTCATTGTGAAACCTTGTACAGTTAAATGAATCTGAGGATCTCCAAATCAGAAGCTGAGGATTCATAAGCAATGAAACTGGGTTCTCCAGACCCTCTGCCCCAGACATTTGAGAACCGAAAACCTCTCCTATAGAGCCATAAATAACAATTCAAAAAGCTTACAGGTAGTCCTTTGTAGAAGACTGTACACTCCCTTTGAATGACCAAACCCACCTTATGCCCAATATTCATCATTCCCGGTTCGTCTCACCGGGAGGTTCCCATGATCACTCATACTCCCTCTCAATCTGTAAAAGGATGGCTTACTTCTCACCGTTCTCAAAGGACCAGACCTATTGCCATGCCTGATTGGTGATGACAATCGTTCTCCAAGCAAACTCGAGGCTGAGCGTGGTCGGTTTTCCAACTCTTCGAGTGTGCCTGAACTGTACTCCATTGTAATGAAAGATGAGGCTTGCCCATACGTTATGCGAGGGGAGACTGCACCTGCATTCCACCAACTACTTTCTGATGGAACAAAATCACCTTTCAAGTCCGAGTCATCCAGGGCAGAAGACTCCTTTTGGCTGTAGTTGTCCTCCGCACATGTCTCATCAGTGTCATTGTAGATCAGTTTGAGAGCCTGCACAACTTCTCCCATAAAAGGTCTGTTAGTTACTTCCGGGTGGACACACATCGAGGCGATGGCTGCCACCTTGGCCATGTCGTCAAAGTCGTAACTTCCAGCCAAGGAAGGATCAACTAGCTGCTCCAACCCTTCTCTGGTTGTCAGAAGCGGACGTGCCCAAGTTACCAAGTTTTCTTGTCCTGGAGGTTGGGACATATCCACAGGTTTTCTCCCTGACAGAAGCTCGAGTAACACAACCCCGTAGCTGTAGACATCACTTTTGACAAGCAGATGCCCTGTCATTGCATATTCAGGGGCTACATACCTGCCAAATCAGGAATTGGTGGACGTTAGACAGCCAATTGAAGCAGGTTTCGTAATCATTCCTGAGTGTCAGACTTGTGTCACCACAAGACCAGTAATATCACAGCCCTCGGGAATGGTGTACAGACAGTTCAGTGTTATGCAAGATGAAGAAATTAGAAGAAAGGACATGAATGATTACCCGAAGGTTCCCATGACCCTTGTAGAGATATGTTGGCTCCCTTCAGTTGCTTCCCTTGCCAAGCCAAAATCAGATACCTTAGGAGTGAAATCATCTTCCAGCAAAACATTACTAGCTTTGAAATCTCGATGAATCACGCGAGGATTAGAATCTTCATGTAGATAGGCAAGTCCTCTAGCTGCTCCAAGAGCAATCTTCAACCGTGCATCCCAGTCAAGGTATCCTTGTTTATCAACACCTGAAACACAGCTAAATATGCTAAACTGAATTGTATATACTCCAACCAGTGTTTCCGCTGGACAGAGTTCCATACTGCAGAAGGGACTTATACTCATGAGTTCAACAGTATAGGCAGTCTCATTTTCACTAGAAGAATATACAATCAAGGAAGTACTGTCTGAGACAAATAGCATATAGCATTGAACGATAAATATGATGATGGCACATACCATGCAAATGAGATTCAACACTGCCATTATGAACAAGTTCATAAACCAAACAGCGTGTATGCCCTTCAATGCATATACCAATCAGTTTGACGAGATTACGGTGATGCAAACGACTCAGCATCTCCACTTCTGCAATAAACTCACGGTCTCCATTCTGATTGGCCCTAGTAAGCATCTTCACTGCAACTTCAGTCCTGTCCTCCATTAGACCATGGTAAACACGTCCAAACCCTCCTTCCCCCAGGATCCTCTTTGAACTGAACTTGTCTGTAGCCCTCTCAAGCTCCAGATAACTAAATGCTTTCACAGATAACATGCAAGGAGCCATGTTAAAAATGAGGGATACTGATGTTGAGCTCGCAATACTATTTGTTAAGAAGGATCCAAAACCTGCAATTACACATCCTAGCTCAGAAAAATTCAGCGTAAGTAGTAAAACAGAACCATCGTCTATTAAGTATTAAGTTCATATGTTGTAGTTGTCATGTTTGACAAATTCAATCAACCAATACATTCCACGGGACAGAAGGATTCAGGAGCATGAAATTGTTCAAGAAGCTATTTTAGATAGTGACAATCTAAGTTGGAACAAAATGAGCCATTATAGACAATATACAAGAGGAGAAGTGGAAACATCAATGCTGGGATTGCATGACAGAAAGTAGTAGTGTCATGCTACCCTTCGGAGAAACCAGTGCTCAGATTAAGTAAAATGAAAAGAAAAAAAGTATGCCAAGATAATGCTGCCTGGCCTAAAAGGATTACAGAACATAACCCCGGTAAAATGTATGGGGGCACATTCCCAAGCAGAAACTGAAATCATATAAGCTCATACCAGATCTTTTATTGATAGATTGTGGGAATGCAGGACCAACAGCATTTGACTGTTTCCCAAACTTTTTCCATTTTATGAAAATGGAGACTGCCCCAATTAAGGCCAACAAGAGCACCAATGCTGATAATGCGATGATTATTAAGGTCCTAAAGTTGATCCCTTTGTCCTTCTTAACTGGATTGGCTGTGATTGGTAGACCTCCACCACTACCTGATGGATCGCCGGCAGTATAACTTGGATATGGTGGCGAAGAAGGAACGCCTGATGGAAACTCGATGGTCATCTCGAAGATAAGAAAATAACAAGAGATAGCAAAACATCTGGTATGACTGAAATAATTACCTGGATAAACAATATACACCACTTCATAACTACCAAAGATAGTCGTATTTAGAGGCACTTTCTTATGCCAGAATCTTTGATTAATTAGACTAGCCGTGGTATTATCAAATTTGTCTCCCAGTGGAACCAAGTTAATGTCCACCACCGTTTCTCCCTGATTTTGACTATCAGCAGTGGCACCCATTATCTTGACCTGGCTCTGTTCCAAATAAGTCCCTGTTGCGACCTCAACCTCTAGTTCATTCATCACTGGGAAAACGGTGTAAGGAGCCACAGTCAGAAGAAGTCTGACTTTCATAGGGAAAACACAGCCACAAGGTGAACCGAATGGAGTAGCCGTAAGTGGATCCACACAAGTTTGGTCACAGCCTGCCAAAGACGCCTCTATCAGAAAGCCCATACTAGTACAAATACGAGGAAGATAAGAATTTCAGAATTTTAGATCCAAGTATTACTCGTTGTTTCTGAAGGGGGTGGAGGGACTACAGCTGCTTTTGGATGGTGATGTCCATGATGGCCATGACGTCTTGGTAAGGGAGCAATTGTAGGACTAGAGGAGACTGGTAAAACAGAGGTTATTAGTAAGATAATACCAAAAAAGATTGTTAAAATCAATTGAAACCATTGCCAGATTGCATTTACTTGTAATACCCTTATTCAGTGGGATAGGGGCAGGGGCAGGTGCAGAAGATGGGTTATGAGCAGGTCTAAACAGATGCTTCTGAGGTGGCTGCGAATGACCAAGTTGAACATCCTTCGAAGTTTTCCTTGCTGCAAGCAATAAAGGAAACATGTTAATCATGGATCCATTGGCAGCAACTATACCACAAGAAATAACCGAAATTGCTCGATTGCCTACCTTGTTTCACCGAAATTCCGCTTGTAGGTACACGCTGAGTAGTTTGTTCAGGAGTTAAAAACATGTGATATAATGAGTTCCCTGCAAGAGCAAGGTAGATACATGAACATATTGAAATAATGAAGAATTTAAGTACCTTTATCCCAGAGACATAAAGCAGAAGATGTTTGCATGAGTCAAAATCTAGCAGGAAACCAATTTGATAGATGTTATCCAACTTAGAAGTTCTCTACATTCAGTAACGGCTCATGGCAACCAGGTCTCCTACACAAGCATGCACACAGAGTCGGCACCCATGGAAGATTGCACCACAAGCTTCTAACTAGAAATGTAGGCATAGCCGCCATGATTCAGGGCATCCCCCCTGTATTGGACATCCAAGCATGAACCTGAAGAAGAGGGACGCAGACTGCAGATACTGGGGAAGTCTTCCCTAATCCTAAAAACTCTCCCCGCAGTAAATTGAGCTAGCATTAGAAACCTGAAGATTATAAATCTAACTAATTTCGTCCTCCCATAATCCATTCCTAAAGGCGCCTGTGATAGAAGAGGACGGAATAATCAGTGGCAAGCAGCCAGTGAAGTTTTGGTACAAATTCCTTATTCTACTATCTCAACCCCTGTCTTTTCAAAGCTATTCATCCCAACAATACCTAATAGCGGGAAATCCAGAGGAAGCCGCCATTCAAAATAAAAGGCGGAAAGAGTGCAACTCGTCAATTTACCTGAACAAGTAAAAACAAGGCGAAGCAAGCAAAGCAGCAGCAGCACCAAGGTTCGCATCTTCTTCTCAGGAAGCCAAACCAAACACCATTGTTCAAACACTACAGGACACCGTCAAGCTCAACAGCGTCCCCGCCCAAGATCCAAGTGAATGAGCAGTAAAAATATCCCTAGGGTTCCTTCTCCGCCACCAACAATCCACTGCCTCAAACTCCGCGGCCACCAAAGCAGCTGACCGCATAGCTCAAGTGGGAAAAAATAAAGCAAAAGAAAGGCTCAAACAGCCCGCACGAACAACTGATGCTTCAAGGCAGAGAAGAAAGAGTAGGACACAATGCCCGTGTGCCGAGCTGCAGATCCATGAAATGCGGTCCCGAAAATCTAGGGAGACAAGTCGTCGCCGTCGTTCAGAAGCTCCGTCGGAGAAGGGGAAGACAAGACGGCCACGAGCGGGTGAGTGGACGCCGGAATTTCAAGCTGAAAGAGGTAGATGATGGCAGCGTATATTTGTTGCGAGGGGAGTAGATTGAAGAAGAGTTAGTTGAAGCAAAAGTGAAAGAGGGAAAGGGAAAGGGAAGCTTTTATTGCGGAGGCGTTACGGAGAGAGAGCAGTATAGTACAGTGGAGGAGGGTGCATTTGCTACAGCATTACGCTGTTTGCGGGAAACGATGATGATGGCTGTCTGCTCAACGCGCCTAATGTGTGTAATGACGCGCTAAGGTTAGACCAGTAATTTGCAATCGTCCGTTGTCACATGTAGATTGTAGGGGTCGTTTGGCGGTGTTAATATGGAAACGTGGGAATTGATTTAGGGTTGGTTTGCTCATTAGATTTGAAAATGAGAGTTTTAAAATTTAAAAATATTTGGATTTATGATAAATTTTTGCATTATGAATTTGAAAGAGTATATTGTTTGTTTAGTTAATTTTTATCATAGATTTATGATGGATTTGTCTCACATTTTTGTCTTCCATTATCAAATCCCAAATAAAATGTGAGATTTGCAAATTCGCGAGGTCCATAGATTTGAATCTAAAAAAATTGTTCAAATTCGTGGGCCCCATAGATTTGTTCCATAATCAAACATTGAATATGTGTCAATTCCATGATACTTGGGATTTGGCTGCCAAATTCATCAACCAAATCCCACAGCAAACGATACCTTAATTTCCATGTTATACAAAACCTGGGAATTGCTAAATGAAAATTGACTAAAATCCCATTGGATTGAGATCAAGAATATGGAAATAGATGGTGTGAGATTTGGTTAGAATTTCAATTTGCCCCTGATGAGCCTAGGGGTGGGATTCAGTCGGTAAACGGTAAATTATTTACCGAAGTTACCGGTTTCGGTATACCGAAGTTGGTCAAATTGGTTACCGATTATCGATACCGGTTTGTAACCGGTTTACCGATTACCGATAAACGGTTACAAACCGGTATTACCGAAATACCGTAAGAAGCCATTTCGGGCGGTTTTTCGATCGGTTTACCGAATATTTACCGAACCGAATTTCTGAAAGTGGGGTGATGTTGTAATATTTTGATTTTTTTGAGTTTTTTTCATAATTTTTGTAATTAATAATTAATAATTAACTCTTATTTACAATATTTTTGAGGCCTATACTTACTTACATTCATGTATGTAATATTTTATATTTGTAAATAATGATGTATATGTTATATGTTAGTGGAGTAGGGAGGGGGGATTTCGGTATCGGTATTACCGATTTACCATCGGTATTTACCGATACCGTGTCCGGTAAACCGACTCCCCCAACTTCCCGCTTGGATGCCGATACCGTCGGTAAACGGTTTACCTTTTACCGCCGGTTACCGGTTCGGTAAAACGGTAAACCGTTTACCGGATTACCGTTTACCACCCCTAGATGAGCCCTAGGTGGGTCTCTTTCGATCGTCGTGACGGCATTCACGGTGGTCGTGCTCCGTCGTGATCATCCTTCGTTCCAAATTGTGAATGCGCTCCATCACTGTGGTCGTGCTCGGTCGCACTGAGAGACGATTCTCTCATTGTTTGTTGGTCCAATTGAGTCTCGTCGTCATACTCTTGACTCTTCTGGTTTCCGCAGGGCAATTGGATATTTGTGCCTCGTTCTTGCAGCGGCGAGTAAGTTTTACTTCTTCGTTGTTGTCACTGTGTTGAACCAAGCTCTTGATGCACTTGATGAGCCCTAGGTGGGTCTCTTTCGATCAGAGTGAGCAGCTTGATCAATTCAATGAGATTGAATTGAACCTCGGGCAAGAACACACGAACAATAGGGCAATGTTTGGTGTGTTTTGGATGGTCAATTCGTGCAATCTCTCAAAACTTGTTTGATACAAGCACACGAATCACTCTCCACCAAGCTATTTAATCAACTCACAAGACGAAAGCTTATCAACCAAAACTTGACGTTTGTATTCAATTAAACAAAATCTATCTATTACAATGCAATTGAAAGGCTTAAATAGAGCGAGGCTAGGTAAAAAAAAAACTAACACGAGAAGTTTTAAACACAAACAAACTCAGAATCAAAGTGCAAAACAGAAAAGGTGAAGTAATCCTAATCCGAGAAGGATTTGGATTCCTTGGTAAGCAAGATAGTTTCGGCAGGCTCCAAACGATATTGCCATCTTTCGTTCAAAGCCTTCTAGGTATCAAATCGATCATCCAATGTCGTGTCTTTGTAGATTAACATACGTACTTTCATGTGGTATGAAGCTCCTTACTCGATTTTCGATCCTCTTCCTCGAATGGAGCTCCAAAGTAGGCTTCACAATCACGTTTCTAGACTTAGCCATGTTCAGGCAGTTTCTCGGTTTTGGCCGAGGTTTTTGAGCAGCTTCGAAAATTATCTTCCTAACTCTCCTCGAGCTCCCACGCATCCCAGATTGTAGAGGAGCACTCCAACTTCAAAACAAACCCCTAATCTTGAATTTTCATCGCGCCATTTGTGAGAACCAAGTCTGCAAAGTTGGTCCCCTGAAACAATCTAAACACTTAGCCAATTTTTGATGTTCTTCATGCTAGTTGAAATTGACTCTTTGCGAAGCAATTCTGATTCATAGATTGAGCCATTTAGGATCATATAAACCCCTTTCCATGTTAAGTGTTTTGTACTCTCTTTAAAGCCTTTCTTCACTCATCTCACAATGCATTGTTCTCAATCCTTGAACTTTTGAACTATTGAATAAAACCGTAGAACCAATCTAACCACTATATTGTGTGTGTGAAGTATGCGACTGCTAGTGACAAATACAATTACTCTCTAATGAAAGAATCCAATCACTCCTTGTTGCTTGGGCTAGTAACTGATTTTGTTGCTAGTTGTTCTTGTTGCCATTACTTTTGCTGCCACCAAATAGAAAACTTGCACCACACTGACTTAAACACTAGCCATCCACAATAGCTTTAGGATCTTATTAAAGGAGATCATATTATTCAAAGAAACCAAACACATTGATCAGGGTACAAATAACATAGGGAAGGGATCCAATAGCAACGACAATTCAACGGTACTGCAGAAGCAACAACACAACAACAAAATTCAGCAATATAGGAGATCGCAAGTCAACTGATTAATCTCTCATGCACAGAGCTTGTAAGCAATGAACCCCCTTCTAACTAGGGATGCTAAATTTAATTTCAATTACAGTGGTAGCTACTAATCGAACCTTCGAAGCTCACATCCGTTAATCGAAGCTCAGAACGAAGATGAAAGAGATAATGGGATTGCGATAGCGGCAAATAAAAATAGTGAGTTGGTGATTGGAGTTGTTGGGCGACACAGAAAGGGAATTTGGAGGTAGCGGTGGAGAAGATGGGACGACTGAGGAAGAGCTCCTCTCATCGGAGAACCATCAAATATATGCATTTCGTGGGATTTGGGTCCAATTATTGCGTTAAATTACCACAACCAAATGACCCTGTATTCACTCTGAGTTTCGGTTTAGTATGGTTGGTTGTTTATGCTTTTTGGTGTTATCTTAAAATTATGGAAATGGAGAATAAAAATCATGTTTAGTTGGAACCGTGAGCTTCAAACACTTATGATGTATCCTAGATTGCTTTCTTGCATCAGGTTGTGAAATATTAGATGGCATCGTGAGCTTCAGACACTTATGATAAAGAATGACGAAGTTGAGTGAAGGAAAAAATGTTAATTTGGGGTTCCAGTTCTACATGGTAGGATTACTAGGAACACTTATAGGTATATCCTGGATGAGGTTGATAAAAGACTGACTGCTTAGAAAGAGAAAACGCTTTCCCTTGCAGGGAGAGTTACCCTTGCTCTCTCTGTTTTGAATGTTATACCTACATATGCCATGCAAACTGCAACCCTCCCTGTTTCTGTTTGTGATGCAATTGATAGAAAGGTTAGGTGGTTGGGGTCCCAGGAAGGGAGGAGAAAAGTTCACCTCGTGTCGTGGGATACTATCTGCAAACCTAAAAGCCAGGGTGACCTCGGCCTTAAATATACTAGATGTCTCAACGTGGCTTACATGATTAAGATTGCGTGACCCATTTTCAATGATGAAAAAGCTCTTTGGGTACAGGTCTTATAGGGGAAGTATTTTAACCATAAAGATGGAATGCTTGTCTCTATGAAGAAGAGCAGTCTGTGGAAAGTTGTCCTTAAAGCAATGCCACTAATGAAGAGTGTCATAGCCTGGAGTGTTTGTGATGGAACTTCCTTTGGTTTCTAGACCCACCCATGGATTGATCATGACATCATCCTTGCTGACTTCCTGTAACAGGATATTAGTGAGGAAGAGAGGAGCTCTACAGTTGCGGACTGGACCATGGAGAAAGGTAACTTGGACTAGAGTAGACTCAATAATCTACTACCTGATGAGATCTTGTCGCTGATTGCAGGTACAAATGTTCCTGTTCCTGGCTCGGGGGAGGACAAGCACATCTGGGGAGTGGAAAAGGATGGGGAGTTCATACTTAAATCTGCCTACAGCCTTGCCTCGGATGCTTTGGGGAGGGAGGATGATGTTATCTAGAAAGGCATCTAGAAATGGAAAGGCCCTAGCAAGATTAAACACTTCATGTGGCTGATGACACACAACAGACTGATTACTAACAAGGAAAAATCGAAGAGAGGGCTCACCACCAACAGGAGTTGCCCTCACTGCAGCAATACTAAGGAAACTGTGGAGCATATTCTCCGAAACTGCAAGAAGATCAAAGGTTTCATGGGACACTTCAAAGATCGAGTTTCGGACCATACCCCCAGCCATGACTTCAAGACCTGGCTAGTCAACAACATGAAAGATGAGAGTAAAGGAACGGAGTTCGGTATCATATGATGGTGTATATGGAAACAACGGAATGAGGAAGCAATGGACGGGAAAACTTTCTCCGAAGTGGGCCTGATCAAAAGAATTGAGGCTTGCTTTTCCATTAACACCAATGTTGTGGCGAATGTTGCCTCTGTTGAACAAGGAACGAGAACCATTAGAGAAAGGAGGTTCATATCTTGGAAGTCACCACCAGAAGATTGGATCCAACTTCATAGTGATGGAAGCTTTCAGAGCTCTAACAACAATGCTGTTACGGGAGGCCTACTTAGAGACAACTTAGGAAAGTGCTTGGCAGCGTTTATGTGCAACCCGGGAGCCTGCACCATTAC